GCGCGCCGCCGCCGCCTTGCTGATCGCCATGGAGCAGCCGAGGATCGCGTTTGCGCCGAGCCGGCTCTTGTTTGCCGTCCCGTCAAGGTCGCACATCTGCTGGTCCAGCAGCGCCTGCTGCAGCTCGTCCTTGCCCACGAGGGCGGGCGCCAGGACGTCGTTCACATTCTTCACCGCGTGCAGGCAACCCTTGCCCAAGTAGCGCCTCTTGTCATTATCCCGCAGCTCACACGCCTCGTGGACACCGGTCGACGCACCGGAGGGAACGATTGAGCGGAACACGCCCAGCTCCGTCGTCACCTCCACCTCCACGGTGGGGTTGCCGCGCGAGTCGAGAACCTCGCGCCCGTGAACCTTCTGGATCGTCATACCTCTTCCAAAGAGTCTCCCTAGTTTTATTGCTTTAATTCTTGTTAGTGCTTTGGTGTCGTGTCTCTTGTGTTGTTCGTCTTTGGCGGGTTCACCGTGTTTTTTTTGTTATTTTCTTTATTGTGGATTTTGTGCGTCACAATGTGTTTTTGTGTAAATGCTTCCTTGTTGCTTGCCCTAGGCGGTTGTCGAAATGCAGAGGGTGGGAGAGAGAATATTTAATGATTGTTCTTTTGATGTTCTTACTGAAGTCTCGCGCTTCTTTGGATTTACAGGGTTTGCTTTATATGGTTTTACAGAGAAGGGTGTTGCGGGAGCCGTCGCTTGTGGGAGGTAAAGGAGTTAACATACTGGTGATACAATGAAAATCCCTGCAGAGGCGGCGGCTTCTGCATAAGAAAACATATACATCGCTCATTTGTAGTACCGGTGGTAGGTGCGTGTGCTGCGGGGCGACTTTTCATTTGTGTGTTTTTTTTTTTGCCCCCCTCTCTCCTTTGTTCTGCAGTTTCTGGTGGCGGGGTTTTTGGACGACGCCCCGCCGGTGACGATGCTGTGCGTCGTCCTGCGCGCGGTTAACGTGTGCACCCGCTGGATGACGGCAGAGCAGCGTTCAATACGTCTGCGTTACTGCTGCTTCCTGTTGTTTTATTTTTCTTCTCTCGTGAGGTCCCCAGGATTCTGCGCCAAAAAAAAAACGTGTTGATACCGTCCTCTCCCCACGCACCTCCACGCTCTGCCCACTCGCTGGAAAATGTCTGGAAGCCGCAGCGAGTTATTTGGCTTCTTCCGTCTCATTCAACACAACTTGCCGCCGTTGTCGCTGGCTGCGCAGCTCCACTCATGTCCACACAGCCTGCGGGGGGTGCACTGCGGCACTTACCCATGAAGTTGTGGCCGCGTGTGCTTTGAAGCCACGCAACCCACCCCACTTCCGCTCTTTCTCCGTCCATCTAAGCCCTAATTTTTTTTTTCACATTGTCCTCTTCCCCCTGCAGTTTCCTTTTCTTCCTCTGGTTTTTCTTTTTTTTCTTCATTTTTTTTTTCTGTTGCCGTTTGTTCGCTTTGAGTTTTAACTGCCCAGTTTTATTGTCATTGCTGTCCCTCTTGCAAGGGCATAGATACGCACACATGGTGAGGCTGGGATAGTTTTTCTTTTTCTTGCGCTGTTGAAGTCGTTGCGCCTTGGCGCTCTGCGGGAGAAAGTTACCCCGTTGCCCTCGAATAGCACACGCAGGGAAGCGAGTAAGCAAGATAACCTTGAATACTGAGCTTCCATTTGCAGCCTTCTTTTCGTGTTGCTTTCACGCTGGAGATCGATGAACCCCGTTACACAGACTGCCCGCTGTTGTTGTAGTTTTTCCCTCCCCTCTTTTTTTTGTTTGGATGGGTTTTGCTTAGGCCCCGTCGTTCTGAAATTCCTACGATGGAGGCGCCGTGGCCTGCGGCTGGGAGGCACCGCTGCCCGTGCCAGCAACATTCATGGCGGAGGCTGACGTCGGGCCGGTCGCGCTCATACGGCGGTCTATCTCGCTCTGCAGCCACGCACTCGGGTCCGTCCCAAGCGGCGGCTGGTAGTCGGTGCTGTGCGCGCGCTGCGCGGAGGGGCGTGGGCCCGCTGGTATAGACGGCTGCCGGTCCAAAGGATCGTGCTGTTGCTGACGCTCCTCCTCCTTCCGGCGAAGTTTGTCGGAGCGGGTCTCGTGGCGGCGGACGGCGTTGGGCACTTCCGGACCAAACCGCTTCTCCTTCTCGTCAATCGCCGGTTGGTACAGCCCTGGAAGACGTGCAGCCGGCAGCTGGTTGTTCACACTCTCCTCGCTGGTCCTTGTGGAGGACGCGGAGCGGCCGGCAGTGGCGGCGGCGGCTGCCGCTGCAGTGACATCAGCTGCCGTCTTCTGCTTTCTCTTTCCCTCCGGACTGTCTATCGATAAACCACGACGAGCGGCCTCCTCCCGCGGGTCATCATCCTCCAGGGAGATCCCACCAAAGCCATAATCTCTGTATGGCAGGCCATGCTCGTCACACGCGATGCGAGCCTCACGCCAAAGGTTTGCCCGTAGTTGATGCATCTGCCGGCATGCCTTGTCACGACGGTAGGCGGCCTGCACATAACTTGCCGCAAAGTGCTGGGCAGTGGTGGCGCTGGCGTGGCGCACCAGCACCGTCGGTAGGGCACGGAGGAAGCTTTCGGAATGCCGCCACACCGATTCTAACGTGGTACCGTCGTTTACCTCCTCTTCGCTAAACGCCATTGCGAGGACCCGACGGGCCAGCGGCAGCATAACCTCATAGTAGTAAACTTTGCCGCCGTGGTCAGGGATGCCGTACTCGCGCAGAAGGCGCATCAGTTCGACGCGGTTGTTGCGCGACGCAAGTCCGAGGGGGGGACGGAGTGCCTCAAGTAACTCCGGCAGTTCCTTCGTCCGCAGCACGAGCCGCGCGTTCGGGTCGCGCACGGACCACAGGTCGCGAAACCGTCGTAGGTCGTGCATGCGCGTCACACTCGCCTTCATCCGCGCCACCGCAACGTAGTGGTCGACGAGGACCGCCAAGTACAGGTGCACGATCATGAGGGCAAAGCAAATGACAATGGGCACGTAAAACACAGGCGCCCAATTCGTCGTTTTGCAGTTGGGTAGTGGGCAGGGGTTTCCATCGGCCACGCTCGCGCGCAGCATCGCGACCCAGTCCTCTAGCGTGGCAAGACGGAACACCATCATAAGAGCATTGGGAAACGTCAGAAAGTTGTTGTAGGTCCCATCAATGTATCCGCCCGGAACGGGAACCACGGGGCCAATAAGATGCATGCCAAGCACCGCAAACACAAACACGGCAAGCGCCAATATCAGTGTGACATTCACAAGCGAAGATGCGGAGAGCAGCAATGCTTCGTGCAGTAAGTGAAGGTGGTGTCGCAGTGGCAACAAAAAGTCCACAAGCTTGAGCATGCGCCCCAGATGCAGCAGACGAAGCACGTTGACGTTAAACGGCACGTGGTGGTCGACCGTGGTATTCAAACCAATTTGGAGGTACGAAAGACAAGTCACAAACACGTTAAATGAGAACGACCAGCGTGAGAAGGCGCGCAAGCCGTGGGCGGCGAGTCGCATGAGTATTTCCACCGTAAAGAGCGCGACCCATACATATTGGAGTGCATCCAAGGCATTTTCTTGTCTCGAGCTGTTGTCGTACCAGTACAGCGACATTGTGATGAGGTTAAAGAAGAGTATACATGCCATCACCACTTCAAATAAGGGATGAACCACAATTCGGTGCAGAAAGCGTGAAAAGGAGTTACCCAACGGTATCAGCGCGACACGAGGCTTGAGGCGCAGAATCATGCGTTGCATGCGCATCCAGAGCTGGTGTTCAAACGTGATGTCTGTCACATCCTCCGCGGCGTTTTTGGCGAGCAGGTAGCAGTAAATCAGCGAGGCAGCAAAGAGTGAGAAGAGCACAAGATGCGAGACGTAATAGTAGGCAATGAAAAAGAGACCCTTGGATGGGTGGCGGTTAGCAATCGGCGCCGACTCCGTCGACCACCCATCCACGCCCTGGTAGATGACGTCCAGCCACTGGGACCCTGTGCTCACCTCAAACATGGTCAGAAGACTTTCGTAGAAGTTGTCAAAATTACGCTGCGGCCCAATCCACCTTTCACCAGCGTCCACACATGAAGTTTTGTTGAGGTACGACGGGGAAGTGCAGCTGTGCGTCAGACCCATGAATAGACGCACGGCGAGGATGGACCACACAATGTAGTTCAACAAAGACAACAGCAATACGTTGGCCAGGGTGGGAACGGAGTCCCACATGGTCAGGGCGAGTTTCGAGAGCTCCCTGTTGAAGCTGCAGTAGCGCAAGGGTCCAAGAATACGGAAGCATCGCATGACTTTGAGGTACCGAAAGTGGGCGTACGCCGGCGCGAAGGCAATCAGTGAGACGACGGTTATAAAGCAATCAAAAATGTTCCACCGACGCCAAAAGTACGCTACGTGAAGGTCGAGCACAACGCCCATGCTGATCCACTTCAACACCATCTCCACCGCAAAGATGACGGCAAAGATGTCATCCAGAACGTGCAGCGTCACGTACTTCCCGGAGGTGTAGGTATCCACCCTTGGGTCGTAGAAGCAGAGGCAGATGGCGGCGGCGAAGATGACGGCAAGGATAAGCCACTCGAACCAACTCGATTCCACAATGGCCGTCACAAAGCGACGCAGCGGGTTGCTGGGGGAAAATATGAAAAAAGAACGGTCCCGCCACGAACGATGGAATGAGCTGTAGGCGGCAGCACGCTCCTGCGTCTTCTGGTGGGCGAGGATGTAGGCAAGGGTCGCACGCCCCACCTGCTCCTCTCCAACGTGTAGACCGATTAACCACTGCTGCAATTGCAAGGCCTCCAGAGTCCGATCCCACGTGCGGTATTCGCGGACCTCAATGTCAGAGCAGGAAAGGTACTCAATGCTATCAAAGAGCAGCATCCCACAACTCCAGGCTTGCCCAAGCACGGTTTCTACGGCCTCCCGTGTCGGGGGTCCTCCCAACTCCTTCTGTAAACGGACATATCCTATAATAGTATTTAAAACCAATTGACGTGAGCTTCGCACGGCGGCCATATGACAATGTTCGGCATGCAATTCATCCGGTGTACGTTGCTGGACGTTTGGTGGGGCTCGCAACGGCATCTGCTTATGCGTGTTGCAGTCCAAACAACGCTCAAACACACGGCGACGTCGTCCCACCATAACGTGTTTGTAGCGCAGACGTGGACCAGGAAGGAGAATGTGCTCATACACAATGCCACCCCCCGTCATAGGAACGTTCCCACGATATCCCTTCTCTTCCGGCTCGTTGGGCTGCGGTCGACCTTCCATCAGCTCTCCGTATTTCATTACTGTGGGTTTTTCGTATCCCAATGTGGTGAAGTGCCCCGTGACACTTGAATGACGATCATTCGGCAAGGAGCTGGAACCACGCACTCCGTGTGCGCCCAGCGTTCGCCCTCCCTGTGGGTGGGCAAAGCCTTCAAGCTCGGCTGCCATGTCGGCCGCAGAACCAGTGCTGTTCTGTAACGCCATATCGGACGGCGTCGAGACTAAGGGTAACATGTTTGCAGCATGCAGCTCGTCACCCTCCGTCTGATGGTACGCCGTTGCAGGGACGGCGCTGTAGCGTCGCGCAAAGCGCAGTTGAGCGTTTTCTGCCTGAAACTGGGAAATTGGGGCACTGACAGGGGGCGGTGGTGGCTCCTCAAACGTGCTCGGCATGCTCATTTGCCGCTGTAGCTGACCACCGACGTTGACAAACTGCGGCACCACCACCTGTGGGGGTTGCGTGTCCGCCATCACGTACGAGGCAAGGTTTCCATCCATGCTGACGCTGTTGGAAGACACCTGTTGCGGGTCCGTGGAGAAGCCGCGTCTGGCAACGCTCTCCCTCGAGAAGCGTTCCTTCGCCTCAGCAATGCGCAGCTGCTGACGCATATCTTGGTTTAAGTGGAACACCTCATCCGGTGCCACGTCACGCCGCTCAAAGCCGCCATGAATGTGCTTAAAAGACCGCCACACCGTGAAGTCAAACCAACGCAGGCGCGGCGCTCCACGGGATTGCGGGCCACGTTTGCCCGTCGTGGGTGGGGCGTAATCCTCGCTCTCTTCCTCTTGCTGCCACGCCCACGCAAAGACGGCGATGAATAAGTAGCGAAATATAAACGCCACACCTACAACCGCCAAGAAATACATGATTGTATACCCCCCGCGGGCCCGCATCCCATCCCACGACAGGTACAGCCACTCGTCACGATCGTACGAAAACGCCTGCGACACGGCGAACGCGGCATCGGAAAAGATGTCAAAGGAGCCAAGTCTCCTGTAGTCGTCGTTGCTAGTGACGAGCTGACGCATCCGGCCCCCGAAGAAGGCCATACCAATGAGGATCCACATGAACATGTACACAGAGAAGAAGATGAGGGCGTATACAATGTCCTGAAACCCAAGCAGCAGCACGCGTGTGACCCGCCGCATTGGGGCAAAGGGCGCAATACGGAGAAGCCGCAGGAAACGAACCCAGTTCAGCACCGTGATGCTGTTGGAGTGGCCAAAGCCCAATTCGAAGAAACCAATGACGGTCACAATAAGGCAAAGAACGTTGAAAAAGTCACATACAAAAGGGCCCGGTCCCAAGGCTATAATGCGAATGATAAGCTCCAGCATAAACAATGAGGTAAAGCAAACACCCGCGACGAAGAGGCCGTCATCCCAGTTGTTCGGTTGTCCATAATGACGCGATGCGTTAAATACACCGTTGGCAAACACGAGAAAGAGCATGATCCAATTAAATACAGTCACACGCGCATTCTCAACGATATTTTTAGCCATATTTATGGGCGAAAAACGCCCAACATCGGCTTGGTTTGAGTCTTCATTGTTATATCCTTCTATTTCACTATAGTCGTCTGTGCCGCTTTCGTCGAGGTGGTCGTTTTGGCGAACCAATTTGCCTCGTCGCGCGCGTTTTTGACGCAATTTACGCAGTGCAGCCTCCTCGTATTTATTCACGTAGTTAAGGGGTAATAGACCAAAACGACGCTGCATGCGTTTGTGCTCCCAGAGGTATTGTGTAAGAATACGGGGGTAACCCTCGGTAAACATATGAAGTATGTTCCGGATGATGCCCCACCGTTGCCCACACGTTGTGGCATAGCGGAAGTCACCACCCTCCGGGTCATTAATAAGCAGCTCTTGCGGCTGCGACGCTCCAGCTACCGAGTCGTGTGCAGCGGAAAAGTAGGCACTTGTGTGAGATGAGGGAGATTCGGCGTTGCCGTTGGCGCGCGCCTGCACAGACCGACGATTGGGAATGACACCAGCGGACTCTCTTGTGGCAATAATACTGGTCCCCGACTCCTCCACGTGACCCCCGCCGCGTTGCATTGGAGAGGCATGAAACTTAAATGGCGTGCCCGCAGCATTTGGTGTGCCGCCGCCGATGCCCCGTGCCACACGAGGTGCGCTACGTTGAGGGCTCGTCTCTTCCGTTTCCTCCAGGTTTTGGTAGGACCTCAGGAACTGCAGTCGCCCCTGCTCATTCTCCAGGCGGATGGCCAGCGGCAACTTGCTGCCATGGGACGCGCCGATCGTGTAGGTGAGAGGGTGGTGCTGCACCATCCCCACGCGTCCGCCGAGAGCAAAGTCACCTCCCTCCATCTGGCTTGTTGTGTGTGCAGACTGTGAGGAGGTTTTGACGCCTCCGTTCGCGTGAGCGACGCCGTTGTCATCCGCCTTGAACATCACACGTCGCTTTCTGTTGCATTTTTCCGCAATGTCGCGCTGCCGCGTGAGCGAGAGGTGCAGCTGCACCCGTTGCTCGTCCGTCCATTTGGTGCGCCGCTTGATGCTGCCGCCACCACCGTCGTTTCGTTCGCTGCACGATGAGAGGGCAGAGGCGGCGTCAAGGTTGTTTCCGTTGCCGGCGTGGGGGCCCACGTTTTCGGCGCGACTGCTTACATTCCCGGAAACTTCTTCAGGTGCCCTACGTCGCAGCCGCCCGCTTTCGTCACGCTCGACAAAGTCGTGCAGCTTAATGGCCTTCGTCATGCGCTGTCGCTGCTCCAGCAGCATGCTGTCAAACAGCTGCAGCTGCTTCTGCACGAAAAGACGGCTCGTCTTCTCAATCTTCTCAATAAAGACGCCAATGTAGAGGCCAGGAATAAACCACGCGCAGAACAAGATGGTGAAGACGTAGTACAGTATCGCCAGGGTGTTCACCGCATCGTTCGTCTCCACCAGCAGACTCGTCCAGCCCTGAAACGTCATGATTTGAAACGTCGAGAGCAGCGCATGCCCCACGTCATCAAAGCTGCGGAAGCCGTAGTGCGGGTTGGGAGACGCGTCCGCCACGCAAAGGTATCCCGACTCACAGGTGTGGCCCCAGTAAAACCAGTAGTCTCCTGTGGCCGCCGGCCGGCAGAGCTGCGCCGTTGCGACCCCCGTAACGGAGTTGACGCACCGATGATGCAGGGCTCCACGGAACAACTGCAACCCCATCAGTGCAAAAAAAAAGAGCACGTACACAAGAATTACGGAGGTCTGGAACAGTTTACATGTGGAACGCAAAACAGACTTGGCAAGCAGTTTTATCCGAGTCGAGAAGGGAAGATAGGTGCATGCCTTGATGACCCGAATAAGACGAAAGGCCGTGAAGTTCCAGAGATACCTCCAATAGGTACAGTTCATCACCATCAGCACAAAAACCGCCGTGTCAAGCCAGTGCCACGGGGAACGGAAATACGCACGTGGGTGAAGGACAAATCCGGATGCGAACATGCGCACCAAAATTTCTATACCGTAAATAACCGTGTAAAAGACGTCGGCAAAGACCATAAAGTCCGGTTTGTCCGACTCCGGGGCCGTGTAGCGCGCCCATGAGGCAGTAAAGATGGAATAACCAAGTATAATAAGTATAATTAGAAACTCCATGAGCCAATGGTGCATCACATTATACGCCACCACACGTGCCTTCATGCCTGGGGGAAAGACAAAAAAGGACGAGTGATGCAGCGCCACGGCACGTTGGTGAACCTGAAACATCCAACTTGCATTCCCTCGGTCACTGTCCTCCAACTCTTGCGGTGTCCGTCCGCGGGTGAGGGCGCGCAAGTTCAGTGTGTCAAAGACAGAACGCACTGCCCGCTCCCGAAACAGGTCTTTTTGCAGACGGCGTGGGTCCTGCTCAAGTACACAAGAACCTGACGAAAAGAAGGAATCATCGTCGGTGTACTCCGCAAACCGATCAAAAAGTAGCGCGTCTTCATCTACCTCCACGCCACCACCTCTATCCCCCCCAATGTTGCCTGGATTAAACTCTACAAAGAAGCGTTCGGTTGGGCGCGTCTGCGTTTGCAGAGGGCACAACACTTCCACTGCTTCTTCACCAGAAACGGCGCTTTTTGTTCGTGCCTCTTGTTGACTCGCAGACGGCGTCATCAACACACGCGATCGCGTCGATGAAGTGCCCGCAGTCTCAGTTGGCTTCCTTGGGGGCGTCGATTGACTTTGCTGCTGCTGCTGCTGCTGCTGCTGCTGCTCTCGTGATGGCGAGAGCGGGTTGACGTGTGCTTGTGAGCTTTGAACACTACCAGCGGTATTGTTGCTGTGCTCATTTCCACCCTCATCCACCTCCGGTACTTCGCCTGGAAACGGCATGAAGGCATTACCCGGGTTCCGCGGCGGTGGGGACTGCCGTGCCGCGGCCGACCCTTCAGCCCCGTCCAAGTTTCGTTGCAACGGCGCGAGACGCCCCAGCGGGGGGTGACTAGGCGCGGGCACAGTCCCCGCACCCGTGGGCGGAGCCAGCGTGCCGGTTCCCTTCACCGGCGGTAGTGGCGGAGGAAGCCGCAGGCGCCCTGCGCCTCTTGGCGGAAAAATGCTACTGCTACTACTCGTACTACTGTTTTTCTGGTTGCGGCCGTCACCTGAGTCCGGCGGCCGCGGCGTGCGCTTCGGCGGCTCGCCGGTGCCAGTCTTCGGCGGGGAGAGTGGAGGTGTCCCGCTCATGCCGGCGGACAGTAAACGATAGTCGTATTGCAACTCTGGGCAACGCGGTTCTCTCCCCTCCTCCACGCCTCCACGCACGGAGGTGAACACAACAGTCCACGACGAGGACGACTTTGCCTGACTTTTCCCCCGCACCGAGGCCGCGCTACCTCCCTCCGCCCCCCGGGTTTAGAGACAACTAAAACGATGAACTTCCTGAACCGGACTAAAATAAGAAAAAAACAAGACAAAAGAAAAAGAAAAAGAGAGATGCATCGCCGCAGAGGCCTCACAACGACGAACAACAGACCGCACGGGTTGGCGAGCGAGAGTGACAGGGCTACAGACACACTGAATAAGAAGAAGAAAAAAAACCAAGAGGGGAAAAGGACCACGAGGTTTGGTGAACGTGCAACGACGTCTTAGCGCTTCCGCGTCCTTCCCCCCACAGAGAGTCTCTTTTGCCGCGGGCTCTTCCTTTCGACACAAAAGCACCGCCCCGGTTTCCTCCCTGACGCTGCCAACCAAGATGCTTCCACTGGTGCCGTTACCTTCTCTCTGCTCCCGCCTCCCGCTGCTGGCTCCGACGAGAGCACAGCCACGGCAGCCTGGAGAAGGGCATCCAACCCCGAGAGAAGACCTGCAAACAAATCGAAATAACAAATAATAACAACAACAATGCTCAGCTGGTCAATGTGCAGCGCAACTCCCGCACTCTCTACAGCTGCTACCCTTCAGTACGCAGTGACGGAGACGAAATTATCCAAGAGAAGGCGCGAACGAGCTGGCGGACGCGGCGAACCCAGCCGTGGGAAAGAAAGCCGGAAAAGACAGTGGAGCAGCACATATTGCGGGACAAACACCCAAAATGCAACGGACACAAATATGTCTGTCGCCTCCTCCCAGCGCCGAGCCGGGGAATGAGCAGTTAAGCAAATAAAACAGCAGCAACAACAACAACCGAAAACGCAACCGTGAAGCTAAATCGTTTGCCAAGAACTCTAAAAGTATAAACAAAAAAAAACAAGAGCAGCATGAAAAACGGAAAAAAAACTAAAAAGGAAACGCAGGACGAAATACGTAGACTTCATACCAACAGTTTTTGCGTCATTTCGCGTAGACTCTTTGCACACACATACAGACACACACACACACGCTCTCTTCATTTTTCCCATAGATATCCTTGCTTCTTTTTGGTTCATTATCGTACTAAATATTTCCTACCGTTGGGAGCTTGGCGCCGACAACTGGGCCAGCATCTCCTCCTGTATTTGTGCAAACGTGTTCGACGCCGTTGTGGAGTTAGAAGAAGGGCCTGCACTCATCGCAAAGTGTGAGTGGAAAGGAACTGATTCCACGTTGGAGGCGAACCCACGAACCGCGGACGACGCAACCCATGCTTCCTGCATGTTTTGTTGTTGTTGCTGCTGCTGCTGCTGCTGCCTGGACAATAGTGCCATGAGCTGCTGCTGTTGCTCCAGGAAACCTTGAAGTTGGGCCAGCCTGTCTGGGCTTGACCTGTTTTGCACGCTAGACATAAGGGTCTCCAATTGCTGCTGCATTTCCAACAACATTGTGGGTAAAGAATTGCGCACAGCCAGCGCCGACGAGGAGGAGGAGGTGGAAAGAAAAGAAATACCACAATCTGAAGCCGCACCACGGCTTTCTTCGTGCCTTATTCCGTTTTCGTCGGCGGCCAATGCCGCGTCAAACAACGGTGGCTGAGGTCGCAGTGCCGAGGTTGAGGTCACACGAGTTGTGAAAGCCTCTTGCTTGGGCACAAATGCGGAGGAGGGCTCTTCGCCTGCTTGCCGTTGCGGTGGGCTTGTGAACTGCCCCCCTTCCCACGTCTCATCCGACAGGAGGAAGTCAAACGCGGCGACATTGCCGTTCTGAGTGTCCACGCCGCCAGCAGCGGTGGAGGCGTGGGGTGTTGTGGCTGCCGTGGAGGGACCCAAAACCGGCGCGGAGCTCTCTGTGGAGGGTGCGCCAAAAAGGTCATCCAGCAGGTTTCCCATTCCGGCCTGCCTACTGTCCTCGCCGCCGCTGCTCCTCACGAGCGGGGCGGTCAAGAAGCCAAACGAGGAGGACGCTTGGACAACGCCGCTGGCGTGGCTCTCGCCGCCATCATGCGTTCTATCCGTGTTCCCCTGGGGCGCCTCGTGAAGGGGCATTGGCGCACGCCTCTTCAGCGTAGTCTTGTCTTTTGCGCCGCGGTGCTTGACACGGAGAGACATCCCGCTCATATTCGCCCTCTCTCCGTTTCTGCTCTGGCCATCGTCTCCCGTCACCTCCATGCTGGGAATCGGCGCCGCCCAGAAAAAGGCCTGCATCGCATTCCCCGCAGCCTGCAATGGCTCTGCCTTCGTCGCCGGCGAGAGGGCAGAAGTGGCGGCAGGGGCTGAGGCAACAAACGTGTTGCCTGCCACGTCACTCTCCGGCAGGCCAAGAAGCCTCACCACACGCTGTGCACACTCACGCAAGGTTGCCTGCACAACAAAAACGTTTCGCTGCACATCCTCCGGATTTTCAAGAAAGTACCGCATAACTACTTGCCGCATTGTGGCTGCCGACCCCGCCTCGCCAAAGTGCGGGCGCAGAAGTGCCTCCAGCGCCACAAGCGCGTTCAGCCGCCGCTGCCACGGATGCTTCTGTGCAAGCTGTGAGTCCAGCGCCTCCGCAAGCTCCTCCCAGGATTCCTCCGGATCATCCTTCCCCTCCTGTACGCTCTCCCCCTGCATCGCCTCAGCGCCTAACTTACGGCATCGCTCTACGAAGGCGTGCAGCTCCACCCGTTGGGGCGTACTTTTCATTTGACAGAGTCGTTGCACAGTTGATTGAAGCGGTGTGAGCTGCAGCTGGTGGTGCGAAGTTCCGCCGTACGCCTCACGCGTTGTGGTGTTGCTCTCCACCTTTTCTACATCATCAGTAAATTTAAACCCATTGCCCGCCGTTTCCCCGGGAAGGGGAGCAGAATCACTGATGCCCACTTCAACTCGCTGAAAGCTGCCTGTATCCAGCTCCGAGGAGCACGCCATGGAAGTGCCAGTGGTACTCAGCTTCAAAGCACTTTCGTACAACTGATCCTTGGCACTTTTGTAGCCAGTGTTCGGTTCTGCCTTATGCAAGAGAGCAAATCCACTCTTCGCCTTCTCCGCCAACGACAAGAGCACGCGGCTCGTTTTGCTCCTATTGTTAGCCGCAACCTCGTTTGCCATGTGTTCTGCCCACTTATTCGTCATGGGCATCGGCGCAATATTGCTGCTGTGCACACCGATGGATCCTCCTAGCATCGTTGCCGTCGCCAAATTAGCCGTTGCGAGGGATGTGTGGCCCATCGCCGTGTCCCCGCCGCCTCCGTAGCCCTGCTCGAGGATTAGCCGATCCTCCCTGCGGTGCAGAAAGGCGGCTTCCATGGCCTCTTTCGCAGCCCGACGAACCTTTTCATTGAGGCTGTCGCCGTGCTTTGCATCAGGCTTTCCTCGGTAGGCTGCAAACGTCTTAATGACTTCGATGTATGTGTTTTTTTGGACCGCTCGCTGGAAGTCGGAGTGCCCCATCTCGCACAATGCCTTTATGATGCGCAGCACCTTGTACAGCACATGCACGCTTGCCTGTGGCCGCAGTTTATCAAAGAGGGCGTCAATAACTTTCATTTGCGTCTCGTAGTCCTTGTGTGTCCACTGCGCCATCTCGTGATACATGTAGCCGGGGGTCGGATCCTCGCTATCCGCCACGGCGCGCTTGAAGAGACCACGGTCCATCGCCTCCGATCCTGGCCCCTGCAGCTTATTCGAGGAGCGGCCGCGTGCCGACGCCTATTCTGCTATCTCCTGCTATGGTGTTCGCCCTCTGCGTGAATACTTCAGGAGGAATTTGGGAGGCGACGGTAAAAAGAAAGGGGAGGGGGTGGGCGAAAGAAAAAAAACGCCAAAGGGCGCACTTGTTCCTACTTTCACATATCGGCATCTAAGTCTTCTTCTTCTTCTCTCTCTTTCTCCCTCAGTGAGGAGTATGCGGTAGGGCATGAAGAAAGTCAAGAAATAAAGTAAGTCCGTCTGCTATGAAAAGTGCTGAATTCCACACGACAACCCCCACAGACTCTCTCACACACACAACCAAACACACAAAAAAGAAAACCACATCAACGGCCCTCTCACTGTAAGGGGAGAAATCTCTCATATTCTAAATGTGTATGTGCAGATACAAATATACACGTGCTCCTGTGCTATTCCTTGCGGAGGGCCTGCAGCAAGGCACCTTGCTGTGCCACAAAGCCTTCCATCATCTGCCGTAGCTGCTCTATCTGCTCCCGGTGCTGCCGCTGCTGCGCCTCCCACTGCTTCTGCAGCTCCTGCGTCATGACGACGCTGTGCTCATGTGTCAACTGAACCTCCGTCGTTAACCGTGCGCAGAGCTCTTCAAGACGCCTCAAACGATCATTTACGCGCTGTTCCTCCTCTCGCCTATGCGCCACGGAAGACCCCCCCACACGGCACGGAGGCACCGCCGAACCATTAGAGCCAAATTCCTCTTCCCCCTCGCCACATGTTTTCCCAACGTATTCCAGAACGCTCATCTCATCGTCAATCTCACTCGCCGCCGCCGCCGAGTCCCGGCCCTGCGCAGACTCTGTCGATGCCCGTTCCGAGGCACGCGTCTTCTGACAGCCCCCTTTTTCTGCCGCCTGGAACTCCCCTCTCTCTCTTTTGGTTTCTTCCTCAGCATCCGGAATTTGGGGCTGGTTTAAGCCATTGTACCTCCGTTCGTTCTCTTCGCGAGCAAATGCCAACGTTTTTCTAGTCTCACTCTTGCGCCCATCTGCTGGTGCACACGGAGGACGCCCATACTCAACCTCTGCCTCGTTGTTTGTGTCAAGACCGTCCTCGGCATGAGCGGAAGCCATAGCCGCGGCTGCCGGTGTTACGGTAGGACGCGACGAAGGCTGAGAAAGTGGCGGTTTCTGCAAAGAGGAGGAAAAAGAGAATTGCGAATGAACCACGGAGGTGGGCGGTTTTTCTTGTGGCTTTGATGCCGTTTCCGAGCCTCGCGGGTTGAGAAATGTAGCTTGACTCTCCTGCGGACGGCTCTCTGAGGTTTCTATGGAGGAACAGAGGCCATAGGGGCCTGGCATTTCTCTTGCCGTTGCTTCTGCAGTGATCCTCGCTGGGGTGGATGCCGTTCTTACAGGCTGTTGCGATACCTCTTGACATCGCTGCAGATTATCTGGCGCATAGAGGTGCGTATTCGGGTACGTTGCGTACGATGGCGTCACCCGCGGCAAACCGGAACGCCACACCATCACAATACCATCTTGTCCTGCTGTTGTAAAGTAGGCCCCGTCGTCGGAAAAGCGGGCTGTGGATACCGCCCCCTCATGTGCATTTAGTGTACAATACAAGTACCCCTCCTTCAGGTCCCATAGCTTTACGGCGCCGTCCGCAGATGCGGAGAGCAGCCAGCTTCCGGTGGGGGCAAAGCGTACCTCGTTGACTCCGCCGTCGTGCGCGTTGTAATGCTGCAGCAGTTGGTTTCTACGGAGATCAAACAGGTTGATGGTGTGATCGGCAGAGCCTGTCGCAAGGGAACAGCCGTCGGGGTGAAAGTCCACCGACCGCACGGATCCAGTATGCTCATAAAAGGTGTGTGTCGGTCGTCGCGAGCGGGTGTCCCACACTTGCACTGTCTGATCATCGCCACCGCTTGCGACAAGCGAAATGTGTGTGGGAAGGAGCCCATTGTCAGTGGCGCCACCGCCTGAGACGGCGACCGTTCGCACCCAATTCTGGTGCCCGCCGGTGAAGCCGCAGACGAATTTGTTACCGCCGCCCTTGGCGGTCGTCGCGGAGGAGGCGTAATTGAGGTCCCAGCACTTGACCGACTTGTCGTCTCCCGCCGTGTACAGGTGGTCGTCGTGCGGGGCGATGGCAAGGGACCGCACCGGCCCCCCGTGCGCCCGCCAGTGGCAATAGTTCTCCGGGCAATTACTGTTTGTCGAGGGCACCGTCAATCCACCGCTGCGCCGCAGAGTCGGCAGCCACAGGCGGACGAAGCCGTCATGGCCGGCGCTAGCAATGAGATGGGCGTGCGGGCTCCAGGTACAGTCGTAAACGGGGCCGCGGTGCCCGGCAAAGCGCAAGGCGCGGACGGTGGGTTTGGCGCTCCAGAGAAACACAAGCCCGTCGGCGCCGGAGGAGAAGGCATACGGCGGCACCACATCGCCCGCCTCGCCACGTCGCTCCAGCAATGAGGACGCAGACGGTTGGAAGCCCGCCGCCAGCACGCCACTCCGGTGCCCGCGAAACGTTAACACGAGCGACGGACGAAACGGTTGCGAATTGAGGGGGTCTATTGCCTCCACCAGCGCACCCGCGTGCTTCGCGGCGCTCTCGCCCCCCCGTTTCACCGACGACCTTGCAGAGCCCAGGCCAGACATGTATGCAGCAAAGCAAGCCCTTTTCTAACACGCACAGGCAGGGAGAGAGGGAGAGAGAGAGAGATGCGGGGGGCACAAGCGACGGTGAGAGCTGCGAGAGGTTGGGCGACGATCACAACGACGGCCCACACCCAAAGACACGACTGTAAAGGCGCCCCTTCCAACTCTGCGGCCTGTACCAGTACATGGGAAGGGAAGGCTCAGGTCATGCAAACCACACACACACAGACACATAAAGAGAGAGAGAGGGAGTGAGGGAGAAAGAGTGAGAGAGAGAAGGTGGGTAGCGGCAGACAAGAAACTAAAACATATAGCCGCCATCCACATGGAACGCCGTGAGACCAAGAAATAATAATAGCAACAATAAGAAAGAAAGAAAGTGGCACATGCAGGGACAAGAGAAAACGAAGTCAACACACACACACACACACACACACACACACACAACAAAATTCACATCGACAAGGTGATATGCAGACCTACTGAAGAGGAGGCAAATGTTGCGAGAAAACTCTGTTTGCAGAGTAAACAAAGTGTGCCACCCACAGACGTCAGTGCGCCCATTCTTCGGAAAGAAAAGGCAGCGGGACGTTCAGTGACGCACCACTGCACCTCCACAGAGCCAGGGTGAGAGAGAACCTCCCCCCCTCCCCCGCTCTTCGTCGTTTCTTTTGCATTTTTGTATTCTACTACAGAAACACATACACACATAGAGAGCGAGAGATAAGAAGAGGCTGCAAAGCAAAACAAAACAAAACAAAACACACACACATAATTATATTACTACGATGCAGTGTGTCCATCCACAAGAGGAGGAAGGAGGATGGGAAAGAAACGTCCTTTATGTCTCCCTTCGCGGTAAAACATATCCGCACCCCAACCACGCACTTGCGCACCCTGGTAGTAGCCCCTCACAGGAGCGCTTGGATGAATACAAACTGCGGCAAACCAACCAAAGATATAACAACACGCACACACGCGCAGCCTCAGCAGCGGCGTTCCACCTGACGGGTGATCGCATCACGGTCCAACACAGTGGGCGCAACTGACAACCCCCATTGCAAAACAAAGAAACATCACCGTTGCCACTGTGGCGGCAGATACCAAAGATTCTTTTTTTCTTTTTCTTGGTGGAACTCCACCAATTCATGGCGGGAGAGGGGCGGGCAAAACAACAACAACAGCAACCAAAGAGAGAGGGGGGCGAGGTGAAACCAACAAACTGCCCTCCTCCTCCTTCTCCTTCTCCTTCCTCACAAGAGAAAAGAAAAAAAAAAAAGAGCATAGGCAAGACCGCAGCGGTCTGGCCATTCATTGAACGTTTCTGCAGAAGGATCCAACAATCTATAGTTGAGGATCCGGTTGCGCCTCTGAGGTCAAAATCCGATTCCCGGAGGGGCTCGACGAACGACGGAAGCGGTTCATGGAGAGCATAGGAATGTCGCTCTCATCAAAAAAATTGTCGTACGTCACACAGTACGTAGCGCCAACTCCACTATAGACAGAAGCGTGTTGTTCAATCACCGCACCGTTTACGACGCCGTCACCGCCCACGCGACGATCATTGTCCAGGAAACAAGAACAGGAGGAGCAGCAGCTGTCCTCATCACTATCAGTACTCCGCGTTTCACAAACGCCAGCGTTGTTGGCGTTATTTTTATTCGTGCTGTTGCTGCTACTGCCCGCCTCATCCCACTGCTCACATATAATTCGAGTGTCGCACAGGGAGGAGGAACTTTGCTGCAAGAAAACGCCCAGTCCTTTTCCACCTTTGGTTGAATTAAGCACGGATTTGTGCGTACCCAAAGGCGACGACTCCAAACAGCTCCGACGAGATTTTGAACGGAGATCAGACAACGTACGTGCGAGCATGGCACTACTCTTTTGCTCAGGCGCAGTGGCAAGCGCCTCCGTAGCTATGCCCAGTGTGGCCCGCCGCCGCTCTGGCCGACTTTGTTTATCCCCCTGAGCCTCGGATGCGCTCACGGGCGTGGTGGTTGAGGTCAGTGCATAGGGGCGGATGTAGTGCGAGGAATCCGTGCGCGGCAGCTCCGCGACATGCGCGTCCCCAGCACTGACGACTCCGTGCCGTGGGCAGTTGCGCCGCAGTCTGTGTGTGCCAGTAAAGTTGGGGTTGCGAATTTTGCCGCAAGAGGCTTCTTGTGGCCCCACTCCTGGCGACATGGAAGCTGAATTCGTCGCTGCTCTCCCGCCCAACCCCCTAGCGGAGGAGCCCAAAGAAGAAGCCACGTTTTGCAGACGCACTAGTTGGCGTTCACAAGGCAAACCTTGGCCCCCCACTTTGATATCGAGTGTCGAAACGTTGTTTGCTTCCCCTGAAATCCCACCGGTTTCCTCTGCGAATCTGGCGTTGTCAGTATACCTGGCACCCAAACACTGCAGTCCATGGCGCTTAAAGGTGCGGCGCCCGCCCACCGCGCCCCGCGGCACCGGCGACGACGTGGCAGGATCTTGAGGTGCTGTTGCAGGTGGATGGGGTGGCGACGGGGCGGTTGCTCGTTCCTCCCCCTCGCCTGGGTGCGCGGGGGAGGCGTGATTGTAGCGGAGGCGCCAAAAGTCGTGAGCGCCGCTCGCGATGACAGGCGACGTCCGTGGCGGGTGTGCAGCGCCGTTGCGAAGCACCGGACTCAGCTGGCCGTTGCTCAGTTGTGCCTTTTCCGCAAGCAAGCCAAGGAGCGTCAGCTCACGCCTCTCCTGCGTGCGGGGAACATGCGACTCACCCGCCTTCGGCGGCGACGGCGCAGGGGCCTCCATCGCCGCACGGTCAGCGAGCGAGCGAGAGAGACGGCGGCAGGGGCAATTTGCTAATGCCGAGCACACGCGCACCACCCAAGGAGACCAACAAGAGCAAATAGCAAAGGCCGTGGACTTCCTTCTAGCAAGCGTCCGACGCCTTTTCCCCCACACTTCCGTCGCGGCTATTCTCGAGGCAAGAAACGATAACAGGAAAACATGAAACGAAGAAAGAAGAAACTCATATTTTGTGAGCGAAAAGCAATAAACAACAATGACAAAAAAAACGGCGGGAGGCCAAAAGGCAGGCAAGCGGGAACCTGCCTCCCCGCCTCCCCTGTACACAACAGAGGGAGACATCTGGCGGCGTCCCTGCAGTAAGGGAGGCGCGCTTTCGTGTGTTACCTGAGAAAAAGAAAACAACAACAACAGAATTATAAAAAAAAAGGCTTCAATCACCACAGGAGTGAGTGAAGAGATAAGTGGAGAGGTAACTCAAGCGCACTCGCAGCGGACTGTCAAGGCCCACAATGCTGCTATGCGTTTCCCCACCTCCCCCAAGCGCGGCGGCGCCACCCCGCCTAGACACGGCTGTAGAGGCGGAACTTGCTGCTGCACGAGACCAGCTTGATCTGCTTCTCCTTGCAGAGGTGCTGCAGGCCCTTGGCGGCGAGGGCGACGGAGATCTTCAGGCGGTCGCTGATGATGGACGGCGTGATCACCTTGTACTTGGGAACCTCGTTGACGAGCTTGTCCATCGTCTCCTTGTCGAAGACGACGGCGTTCTGCAGCGCCTCACGCGTGCGCCCCTTCGACCACTTCTTCGTGGCCTTCTTGGCGCCCTTGTTCATGTTCTGCAGCTTGCCCTTCTTGGGCGCCTGCTTGTTGTCCTTCGCTCCCTTCTTCGGCGGCATTGGCGCTACTCCTACGTGTGACCTGCGTGAAACCGAGAGAGAACAGCGAGAGAGAGGGAGGGAGCGAATGTAAAGAAAAAAAAGCATGAAAAAGAGTCAACGGCCAAACACCGGGTGTTGTGTGGGAAAAGAAAACCGTCTGGGCGAGGAGCGGGGGGGAGCAGAAGGCGCCATTGCGGGCCCCACTGCACACCGGCATCACAGCTGGAAATTAAAAAAAAAAAGCGAGACACACGCACGCAGAAGTGTACATCGGCACTTCATGAGACGCGGGGAAAACGTCGCAGTAGCAGAAAGAAGAAACAAAAACAAACAAAAACCACACACACACACGCACGCACCCCAGAAAACAGAGGAAGCAGCGTCAATACGGCACGCTTTGAGATCCCCAAGAAGAAAGGGAGGGTGGCGGGGAAAAAGGGCAGGAGAAGGAAAACGACAGAGACCGGTTCAATATCGCCTTGACTGCCTTCTTCGGGTAAAGACACAAATACACGCATAGAGGGAGGGGAATGACGCATAAACCTTCCTCCCCCTGCCGTCAAAAAGCGTATTTACCTTGACTCGCTGCCACGCTTGTTTGGCACACGGGCAGCCTCGTCGCCAGCCGCCTCATCGAACCCAAACACATCCTTGTTTCCAAGCCCAACAACCAGCTGCCGTGCTGCTGCTTCACCGAACAACTCCGTCAATTCAGCGAAGTCCTTTTGACTCGCCCAACAGTACCGCTTGTGCATTGCGCGGTACTTTTTCACGGCAAGCGTATCCTGCAGCTGACGAAGCATCCACCGACCGCGTGCGAGACGGCGTGCAAACTCGGGTGTGCCTGGATCCACTAGGGGGGGCGCCATAAACCCCTTTTGTACCATTGCGCGGTATGCCGCGGAGGAGGCCGGAGAAGCCGCAACTTCCGGTGGCGGTGCTGCCGCTGATGGGGTCTGAGCAGTGACGGGGAAGGCCCTTCCAAAATGCACCGCCCTCCCAGCGCCGGCAGTGGAGACAAACGCAGGGGCAAGCAAGACAAACTCCAGGTAAAGCTTTGCGACGCGTGGGTGCACGCGTCCGCTCATTGTACGGGCAGCCTGCAGCGTCGCCTGCGCTCACCGAGGGAGAAAAAGTGAGGGACAAACGCGTCCACGCAGGCACCCTCGCCCTTTCCTCACCTGTCAGACACGCACGGACGCAGAAGCGCACATGCACGCGACTCAAAGAAAAGGAGAAAATCACGAGTCGAAAGAAAAAAAAAAGGAGCAAAAGAAGACGAAAAAAGGAAGTACAAATAAAAGTCAAAGAGAGTTGTGGGAGAAAACGGCCAAAGTGGGCGATGCGGCTAACATCAATTCGCCAGAAATCTCTGGTTCCCTATTTTTCCCTTCTCTGTGTCTTACCACACCCAAACCATTGCCCCTTTACGAGGGCCCGGCGCGTCTTTGGACTACGGCTCCATGAGGCGCGTCTCAACGGCCCAGCGGAGCAAAGCAACTGTTTTGGCGAGCGGCGGCGGCGAGCACGCAGCTGCAGACGTCTCCGCATCGATGTCAGGATCGTCGCCAGCATCGCAGCAAGGAGGCAGCGTCTTCTTAGCCGCTTGGCGATTCAGCAGCAGTCGATGCACCTCAGCGACAAACACTCGGTTCCGCGAGGTCCGCACAATCTGGGCAAGGCTGTCGGCGATACTCTGAACCAGCAACGACCATGAGTGTTGCAAAGAAATGGGAACGGCTTCCGCCGACGCAGAGGCGTCTGCGGCCTCCTCCCCTTCCCCTCCCCTCACTTCCCCCGACCCACTGGGCGTCGTCAGCGAGTGGCGCACGAAACAGTCAATGTTCTCCGCCGCGAGACGGGAGAGGGCACCCGCAGCCGTCTTGGCAACACACTCTGGAAAACCTTGCAGGGAGCCATTTTCACGGTTTGGCACGAGGAGGGCATCAGAGTGGAGGACACGGCGCCACATCTCGAGGGGAGCGTCTAGAATGAGAGTAATGCTCTGCGCCCTCCGTGCGTCAAGGGCACCTTGCAGGTAAAAACTGTACCCGAGCTGCTCCCGCAATCCACATACATCACGGCAACCGTCCCCTTCAAGTTGCATGGGACGAGACCAAACTGCCTCCCATGAAATCTTGGGTAAGATGTGGGTTTCACTGTGACGAGACAGCAAACGAAAAAATGGTTCCTTGTCCATTATACTGTCGGTTTCCAGTTCTCCACGCTTCGGCGTGGATTGTCGCGGCCGCTTTTTCCGCTCCTCTGCTGTTATTGGCATGGAGGTGGCGACCGAGCAGATGGCACCGTCAGCAGCGTGAAGCAACAAAACTGCGGTATTTCGCCCCGCTCGCGGTCCCAGTGGGATGTTGGCATTTAAAAGTACTGCCACCCGCACCAGCTGCTCGGCAGCGACATCGCCTGTTTCAAGAGGGCTCGACATCATCGTTGCGCTGTGCGTGGCTCCAAGGAGCCCATCACGCCCCCTCTCCCACGTGAGGTGCGGCACATAGGGCAGAAGCGAGACACTGAGACGGGTTGGAAGGCCCGTTAATGCGGAGCAAACAGCTAGCTGACGCTGCAGCTGTGCACACCACTCCGCAGACAGTGTTGTGCTCGGGAAATTGGTTGGAAAAGCGTGAACAGACACCGGCGCGGCGTCCGTGGGGGACAGGAAAGAAACATGATATGTGAAGACACTGTCGTCACCCTTGGAGGGCTCGTTGCAGTGGGGCCAGCTCCGCGACCCGGGCTGCCATGCCAAGGTACTCGTCAGCCGCGCCTCCACCACAATAAGGACAGGAAGAGGGGAGGCGCGAGACGTCGCCGCCCCAACGTGCGTCTGCTCCATTGCAGAGAGCAGCTCCACAGTGTGAATATGGTGTGAGCGGACGAGACGCACAAGGCCTGCCTCAAAGGCCTCTGCGGTGGTGGCGACCGTGTACGCGGCGGCAGTTGCTTCTGATGCTGCTGCTGCTGCTGCTGCCGCCGCCGCCGCCGACCGTGTCTGCGGCATCAAAAAGCGCCCTGCTCCTCTTCGACTTCGTTGTGCCTGCACCCGCCGTGACGCTGAAGTGGAGGGGCGGGGCGGACAGATTGATTGGGTTACGATTAGAAGAAGCAAAGGACGTAAAGATGAAGATGCGAGTAAAGTAAAAACTACCACGTACAAGGGTCCCAGAAGAAACCTCTCCCACTCTTGCTG